TGGGGGGCTCGGCATGGCTGGGGGGGTCCACATCCTGCTCGGCGTGGTGGGCGGTGTTAACGTCCAGGAGGACCAGGCTGCGGCCAGCAGCACTCCCTGTATCTCCTGGGGAAGAAGAGGAGTTGTGTGAGCAGCAGCATGGAGATGGTGACACAAGAACTAGTTGCGAGGATTTGGTGCAGGTGGAACTGCGCTGGGGTCTGGCTGTACCCGAGAGGCTCATTAAAATGGGGCTTAGAGAGCTGAAATAATCTCATGCCAAATAATTGTGAAAATCTCAAGCAGGCTCTCTCTGCCTGTGTACTTTTGAAGTCTGTGTTTAAGTTCTGCCACTAGTACTTCCTGAAAGAATTTTGAATACTCAGTTTGCTTTTATTTCTAGCTCTTCACCCACTAAAGGCAGTGAAATGAGGCTGTTTCTGTTTTCACTTTGACCATCACCCACTTAGGATGGTTGTGTGTGGGATATCTAGTGCTATATTTCTTTTCTGTTCTGCTTCTTATGATGTTCCTCCCTAAGAAAAATAAAACACTGCACCAAAGCTGAGACTAAGCCCCTTGCTGTCCCAGGGGAGCTGGTGATGCCCTTCCTTTCCTGCTCCTTGCTTTTATTACAATAATTAGCTCCCTGGAGCAAGACGCATCTCTGGACTCCGTGCAGCCCTTCACCTGACAGGTGTCAGATGTTGCTTAAACTAAACGATGCTACAAATTGTAATAGCAATAATTAGTGAGGACAGGGTTAAAGGTAAAAATGGGGTGGAAGGAAGCGATTTTCAGACCATTGGGGGTTTTATGACTGGGAAGCAGAAACCAGTGAATCTATGAGAAGTTGTGCAAAATCTTGGCACCTAGTCTTGGATGCTGCCAGGATGACAGCGCTTCTGTTTTGAGGTGCTGCAACCTAGTGGATAGGGAAAGGAGTTTTCTCTCAGCAGAAGGCAGCGTGGTTCACAGCCCTGAGCAGCAGAACGCCCCTGCCTGCCTCTGCCTTGGAGCTCACCTGCCGTCACCTGCAGGTACACTGCCATGGTCTCCCCGAACTGGCCGTTGCGCTTCACCCCGCACCAGTACCACCCTTCGTCTGTCTCTGCCACCGGGTCAAAGCTCAGGATGACCGTCTTGTTGTCACTGTCACAGGTAACGCCCGGCCCCGGCTGCCTTTGGTCGGAAGCAGGCAGGGGGATGCAGCTGGGGCCGCTCCACTTGCACCAGTACTTCTCGTAGGAGTAGTACTTGCAGGAGTAAGAGCAAGTTAAATCCACTTGTGAACCCGCTTGCACCTCCACCGCCTTCTCTCCCTGCAGCGCGGGTTCTCCTGCAAGGGCAAACAGAACGTCAAGGCTGATGTTAGTGGTTTCAGTGGTGGGAGTGGTGGTCAACAGGTAGTGGTGCTGCTAGAGATGGTGAACCAGGAGATGTGACTTTGAGGGAAAGTGCTCCTTACATTGCTAAATCAATGTTAAGGATGCTGTATATGCATCTCTGGGTGAAAGCTGGGGATTTTTTTTGCAAGACTTAAGAAATACTTGCATGAGAAACCTTTGTGAACACTTTCCCCTGGAACTGAAACCTTGTGTTTCTGGGATGTGGGGGGATTGGTGCAATGTTTCGCCTTATGAGATAAAAATTCAGAATCGGACTTTGCATCTCCTCCTGAAAAGACAGATCTGCTCCTTTGGGATGCTCAGGAGGCTGGTCTGTCCCTGCTGAGCAGGCAGAGAACTGCCAATGCACGAGCTCGTACCGTCTACGATCTTCAGCTCAGTTGATGACTGCTGCTCCTTCACCTCGTCTGTCATGCACCAGTAGTAGCCTTTGTCCGTGTCCTTCAGCTGGTTCAGGATGATGGAGATGGTCTGGTTATCCGGGTTGTCGTACATGGCCACTCTTCCCTCGTACGCCGGCGACACGTACCCGGCGTTGTCTATGATCCGAGCGCACCCGCTCTCTCTCCACTTGCACCAGTACTTCAGCGAGGACCCTCTCTGCGGCCCATAGCGGCATTCAAACGTTGCTGAACTTCCTTTAACTCCAAATACTGTGGGCTTTGCTTGAGGAACTTTAGTCTCTGGAGATAAAAATGAAATGAGCAGCTATACATGTCTAACTTTTGCCCCTGTGGCACTGTCCCAAGACAATAACTATTATCGGATCAAACAAAGCTGTTCTGGCTAAAGCAAGGCTAGGCAAAGCTTGGGGTGCAGGAGGTTGCCCTGGCACTGCCAGGAATTGGCCCTAAAGGGTCTGTCAGGCACTTCTTCTCCCCAAATTCACCTGGTGGTTGTGGTTTTTTCTGACATTTCAAAGCTTTGCTCCCTTTGCTAGGGGAAGGGCAGCTCTTCCCTTTCTACATCTGTCCTTTTGAGATTTAAGGAATTAAGACTTGGAGAGACAGTTTGCTTGTCTCGGATGGGGAGGTGGGAATTTGCCTTCTGGAGTTTTGGGCTAGACAGACTGGGGAAGATAGCTAGCCACTGCTGGGAAAGTTAAGTCTTGATACAAGCTTTATTAGTGATGGTTTAGTAAATTACAGACAGCTAAATGAATAGAAAGAGGTATCTAGACAAGAGGACAGGACAGTAGCACTCTGCAAAGGGAAATTAAAGTTCTTGTTAAAGAGAGACTGCCAACGATGCTTCTAAAGAGATGCAGAGATGAAGGGAAAAAACCACTGGGAATAACTCACCCTGATAGACATGCACGTCCAGTTCCTTCGTTTCTCCATCCTCCCCATAGGTGCCGACCCCGCACAGGTACAAGCCAGCGTCTTCCCAGTCCGTCCGAGTTATCGTGATGCTGAAGGAGCCTGCAGGCTCCTCATTGCTCAGCAGAACTCGCCCTTTGTAATCCTCATTGACCTTCCCATAACTGTCGATGATGTTATGGCAGCCGTTTTTATCCATCTTGCACAAGAACTTCCTCTTGCTCTCGTTCTCCTCCCCGAAGCTGCAGGACATGGTCAAAGTGCTGTGGAGCTTCACGTAGAAGAGCTTGGCTCCCTCGGGTACGTGTGGACCTGCAGGTACAGAGACACCAGTCAGCGTCTGCTGCGTCGGTAACTGTGTGCAGCTCCCCTACACCTCCAGAGGCTTTTCCTTAGCACAGGGTTTCTCTATCTGTCGCTATATTATAGGATCATGTGCCACTCCTGGTCACAGCATCATCTGTCCAGCTGTGTCCCACATCTGTCACACATTCCAGGACTGAGGTCTCTGCTCCATCACCACCTGCTCTACAGTGAGGTTTCTCCCCGGGGCTGTGTCATGAGTTTGCACCGTGCTCTGCACCCTAAACCTTGTCCAGCAGCATGGTGCCCTCCTGCACGCTGTGCTCTCGTGGACTTGTGCACAGGCTCAGCTCACACGGCTTCAGCCATGGGTTGGAGGTTACAGCAAGGTGATGGGCAGTACTGCCCTCTGCATCTCCCTAAATTTTAGTGGCTGAGAGAGGTCAGCAGTTTCTAAGCAATATTGGGGACCTTAAGATGAGGTTTGTTTAATTTGATTTTTGTGCCAGATTTTTGGACAGAAAAAATTTCATTCTGTAAAAGCACAGGGGAAATGAAAACTGGTGTTTCCTGAAAGCATGGAGCATCTGGAGCTCTGACACCCTGGACAGGCCATCTGTGGAGCCTTATTAAAAAGAGGGGAAAAAAAGTAAAAGAAAAGAATACTTTAAGGAATCCCAAGACTGTAATTACCTTCAGAAACATCCAGACTGACTTTGAAGGAGAGCCCTCGGCCATTGATACCAACACCGCACTGGTAGGTGCCGGCGTCTCCCAGTGTGAGCTGGGTGAGGTTGATCTGGAAGCTTTGAGCCTGCGGGTCGTCTGTGATGGAGACTCTGCCTTGGTAGCCTGTAGCAGTGTAGCCGCTGGTGGAGACAATGGTTGCGCAGCCCTTGGCCGATTCCCTGCACCAGTACTTTCTGTCGTGCCTGTTCACGCGGGTGGGAGGGTAGAAGCATTTCACGGTCACCAAGCCGTCGAGCAGACCATACACCTGCCGTGGTCCGAACACCGGGCTGGAGACTGCAAGAGGAAAATGTGTCAGCTGTAAATCCCAGCTGTGCTGCACAGCCTGACGGGACGGCAGAGCAGGTCGGGTGTACCGGGGCAAGCACAGACCCGGGGCTGTGCAGCACCATGGGGTCTGAAAGGTCCCATGGCAGGGATGGGCACTGAAGGTGTAGAGATGCTCCCTGGACCCTGGTCCACCCTTAGTAGTGCCACCTCCAGTCTTGGCGACCCACAAGACCTGTGCCCCAGACAGGTGACACTTACTTGCTGACTTGGGGAGTAATCTGCCGCCTGCAGAGTCAACCAGGAGGCAGGAGAGAAGGAAGATGAATGCTACTAAGGCCATTTTTCTTGCATTCCCTGGAAAAGGAACAGAAGTTGGTAAATAATCACACTTGCAATATGACTAAGTTAACTGGTCAAGTCATCTAATAATCCTCATGCCTGGAGGATATGAGGGTTGTGGCTACTTGAGCGAGAGAGCAATATAGAAGTAAATCACTTCTGTCACCCAACTGAATGGGAAAGAGGGAGCTGATGTTCTTGCCAGTTTTTCTGCATGGCGTCGTCACTGCCTGTGGGTCTCATCCCAACGCCCCCATCTTCCCTTGTTTAAAATGAGGGGAGCTGTTCTTATGACAAACTCAGTTGATGCAATGCCTGCAAGCCACCAACGTGTCCCTCAGAGCAGAGTGTCCCATGGACAGGACACTGCAGCCATGTGCACAGCATAAAAACCAATTTTGTCCAAACCAGAAGAGACTGGATTTGAAATCAGGAATGGTATCTGGCTTCACACTTGGAAACCAGAACAGCCCATCACAAGGCTGAAGTTCAAAAGTGGTCCAAAAGCCGCTGAGCCCTGGCAGGCACGAGAGTCAGGTGGCAACCCGGAGCTCAACCGCTCCCTTGGCCCTGGCCAGGAGATAATGCTGCTTCTGATAGTTTAATAGCTGGGGTCATATTTTCTTTCATTGCTGTTCATGCAGTGAAAGGAAGGCTTGTTCGCTTGTGAGCCTGAGTGCCAAAACCACTCCTTAGGAAAACCTGCTCTCACAGGATGGCTTGGTTTGGAAAGGACCTTTGAAGGTCATCTAGTCCAACCTGACCTTGAACACTTCCCCTGACTGAGCATCTACAGTTTCTCTGGGCAACCTGTCCAAGGGTCTTACCACCCTCACTGTAAAAATTTCTTCCTTATGTCCAAATTTCTTCCTTATGTCACAGGACAGAGTTCCTGTCTGTAGCCTATATTTAATTATGGCTCTTTGTTTCCCTGGACTCTTCAAGGACACACAAGAGAAAAAGGGTACTATTTTCACCTCCACTTTTTTTTTCTTTCCTCAGCTGCTAGTAAAGTTAGTGAGATGTGGGGATTTACCCACCACCATCATGCCTCCAAGAATCAGACTTAAACCCATAACTGGCCAATAACCAAGCACTGTCCCACCTGTATATCCAACAAATCCCCTGCACCAAAACTAACCCTTGGCTGGGACTCAACATTATAGCTATTGGGGAATGGCAAACCAAACTGCAGTTCTCTTGAAGTGTGCCCATAGTCTTCAGGATGAATATTCCTGACTTTCCTTATTTTGGACTGAGTGATGGCTCAGAGGAAGCCAAGGCTCTTAATTCAATAAACTGGCCGGAGCGTGCTGTTGGACACTGCTCAGCGCAGAGGTGGGAATGTGCATTTCCTCAGCGTGGCCGTTGATCTCCTTGTGTAGTCCAAGTTCTAGAGGAGATGATAGGGTGCCAAGGAAAAATCTTTATAAACATGAAGAGGAATTTGATTTTAGGGTGTCAAGTGACACAGTTTTATTAAGGGTGATTCCCAGCAGAAGAAAAAGGCTTTTATTTCCGTGTTAAGATAAAAGGCGTTCTGTTGTGCTTTCTTCCTTGTATTGCGACTTCTAATTGCTCAGTGACCACTTGTCCATGGCCAATAATTAACTCGCTGAGCATGAAAAATGCTCTCTCGTACATATCCCGCAAGTAGCCAGCAAGACAAACATAACTTACTCTGCAGAAAGCAAACAATATGGCACAAAAAGGGCCTTGATATTTGCCCCTTGCTAAGAGCAGTTCCTCCGGCTGACGGTCACTTTGCTGTACTCCGACCCTTGCTCCGCAGAGTGGGTGGGATCCCTGTTCAGCTTTTCCCTTCTCGGAAAAATTCAAATAATGTTAGTCTGATTCCTTCCCAAAACAGTCAGCTGCTTTGGGGTTACTGACAGGTAGGGAAGGGCTACCAAGACCTCTTTTTTTGAAACAAAGCTAGAGCTGTGTCCAGAAAGGTGTGTGCAAGAGTGGTGGCATCAGGGTCTTCATACGCGTGTTAGAGCAGGAACGAATTTTTGCATCTTGAGGATACGCGTGCCCTTGTGCTTACACAAGGACGATGGTTGCTGTCTGCTTGCATGACCAACATCTGCAACTTCTGCAGCTCTGAAGTGCCTCTAGTCCTGTTTTCTCAATGCTGTTAAAACCTTCCCCTCCCCACTGAATGAATGGAGAAAACTCCCACGTATAGCAAGTCTGAGCAAGCACAGCCACTGGTTATGTAAAAAAACCTCTGCTGTATTTCCATGCTGATCCACTGAGCTGGATGGATGGCTGGAAAGCCCCTCGCAGCTGCCAGCACTGTGTCACACTCTGAGAGTGAGACATCCCTGCCCAGAGAAATGGTGCCAACGAGCTTTGCTGGTCGCTCTGCCACAAGCGAGTGCTGTTTGAGATGCTGGAGGAGGATTTCACCAAGCTGTTGGTAAAAGAGCCCTAGTCCTTTCTTGCTTTCAAACAACACTTGCTGCTGGATTTGCTGTCTCTAGTGAGAGCAGAAAGTTGGAACCTCATTGCCCCGGGGAAGAGAAAAGGCTGCTGAGCCCCTACGAAAGGGAGTGCAAGTAAGTGGCTGTGCAAGGGATTTGTGTTAATGCTTCTGCAGAGGGAAGGGGAGCTAGGAGAGAGGAGATGGGATGGCAAATGTTTGCAGGGGACTATAGAAGAGTCAAGAAACCAGAGGGAAATGTCTTGCCTGCTATCTCCAGAGCAGCTGGGAAGCAAGCTCATGAGAAGGTGCTGGCAGGTCTGCAGAGCTCCTGCCCTGCTGCGTGCCCAGGGACGGTGCCTGCAGATGGACCAGTGCTGGACAGGACAGAGTGCTCCTCCTGCCGCTCACCTGCAGCTTCTCATGGTCTATCCTAACTTTCCAGGAGTAGAGAAAGGGGGGAAAAAAAGAATGGTCCTTTGTTATTTACTGGTGAGATCTTTCCTGGAGCTGGCAGTGGAGGCAAGGCTTCATTTTGGGTTTCATATGCAGGTGCACGACTGTATCTGTGTACCTGCTGTATCGGGCAGCACCAGCTGCTTCAGAGAAAGGTGCAAAAACCTGCCCTGGGCAGTGATGCTGTCACTGGTCCTGAGGGGGGGCTTCCCTAAGTCCTTGGGGGGGTGGGTCTGATGGTTGGCACGAAGCATGAGGCTTGTGCAGTGCTCCCAAAACCTCCCAGCAGAAGCTGAGTTTGCTATCCCCAGATAGGAACCTGACGCATGAAAAACCCAGCGAGAAACTGTCTGCAAGGCAGTGCACGGACTGCCAGGATGGCTCTGCGGTTTGTTTAAAACATTCTGATGGGTGAAGGCGGGGGGGAAATTAAGAGCTTGTACCAGTTCTCCCCTGCTGTGCAGGACTGGCAGAGAAGCAGCCGTGGGGAAAGCTTTCGGCAGCACGAATGTGTGTGTCCGGCACTTGCGGAGCCCCTCCTGCAGCCAAAGAACCATGTCCCCTCCTGGCATAAATCCCCAATTCCCTGTCGCAACAGTGGTCCTCTCTGGATTATTATCAGCTGTGGACTTGCAGCGGTACTTTCTTTTCTTTGTTTGCTCTTTTTTTTTTTTTTTTTTTTTTTTAAGATAGACTCAAATGCTGGTTTTGTGAGTTTACTTTCATTTTGCATCACCAAAACTGCCAGCTTCCTTCTCCTCCCTGTCCCAGTGTAACTGTTTTGAAGGTTTCAGAGCACAAAACCAGTATTATGATTATGCAGGAGCTTTTCTCTTTACCCAGGCTTCTGGACACCAATGTCACCAGGATCGGGGCGATGGCACTGTCCTGTCTGGGACACTTTGCCAGGCTGGGGTGGCTCCATATTCTCTGGCTGTTTGCAGTCTGCTGCCGTGTTAGTGTGTATACTGCAACAGGGATTTGAGAAAACTATATCGTACAAATCTAGAACAGGATAGGCTAATTATTAGCAAGATTAATACTAACAAATCAAAATATTCAGTTGTAATATGTTTTAAATCAGAAGATGCAGCCATTACTGGGTAAATGGCATTAACTCTCCTCGTTACCCATTTCCATGCTTGGATTGAGCTGCCGTGTTTGTGACCATGAGCTTGGGAAGAGCTGAAACCCCTCCCGAGGGTGGCTGCTCGGGTGCGTGAGTACCTGAGAAACCTGGGAAGTGGTCAATAAACCCCAAATCCATACCTGTCGTTACAGGTCAAAACTCATTGTACCTTGTAACGTGTTTCCAGCATTTGGATTTTGTTGTGTTTCTTCCCACTGCTGAAGCGCACTAGAGCTCGGCGCGTGCAGGCGCTGCACCCAAGGGGCTTCACGGGTTAGTGCCGAGTGAGACACGGATGTTCGTTACAAGACCTTTCTTGGGTTTCTGTGGGGCTTTTGTGACTCTGACAGTCCTCAGGAGGAATGTCTTCAGATCTATAAAGATTTGGACTAGAGCAGGACCCAATCCCTGAGTTAGCTGCTCTTGCTGGGTAATTCTAGCCTCAGAGTCCTTCTGGTTTGTAGAATGGTTACTGTTATTCAAGTATAAGAGAAATAATAATGTATAGAATAGCACAAATATTTTTTTCCCCTCAAATGCTTTTAAAGCAACATGTGCTGGGGGGGTTCATGGGAGCACTGAAGATGTGTGTCCAGAAGGGCACGGCAACAGAATTCTTGGTGCACAGGACTGGGACTATCTACATCTTTCTGCTGCCCATCAAGATCACTGCACAGACAACCTTACTGTGACTTTTATTTGTCGTAGTGGGATGGGGAACAGCCACCAATCCATTAGGTTTGTATGGAGTTATGAATGAGCAATCAACTTTAACATAAGAGATCAAGCTGACCTAAACACATATAGAAATTTCACGTTCTGAACCGATGCCTCCTTTACAATATGGCAAGAATGAATAGAACATGCTAATTTTGTGATGCAGTGAGCAGAAACAGGCAGATGTTATTGAAGATTATCAGGATTTACTAAGAAATCAGCAGTTGCTAGGAATTTCAGCAGTATTTGGGGCCCTCCTAGCTGAGAATGT